AATAGTTTTTATTTTTTTACTGATTAACGCTAACCCTGGATGAACAGTGATGATCTGGTGAACTGTAAAGTGCCTTGACATGACATGTGTTGTGAATTGGTGCTATAAAAATAAATTTAATTGATTCCTTAAATCAGATTGATTTAAAGATTTATGCAGAAAAAAAAGGCTGCATGTTGTTGGAAGGCGGGTGAGGAAGAGGAGGGTCTACTTCAACAAATCACCAGTCTGAAAGCGACTGCGGGCTTCAACAGATAGATTTTGTTTTTTACTATTAAAAGGCATAAAATATGTCATGCAAATTCCTTTTTCTGTTGCTTGGCAACATGTAAAACATGTAATATTTGAAAGAAACCAAAGAGGTCTGAAAATGGCAGCATGGTTCCTCCTGGGAAAGCCCTGAGGTTCTGCTTCTGATGCGTACGTGTGAATATCTGACGGCTGGTGCAGGCAGGAGCAGCCGGCTGTGTAGTCGAACGATGTGTTGCTTCCAGCTGTGGAGCAGGACTGGCACAGCAGCTCGTGACTGGTTACATCGGTCTGTTGCCACGACGATGGGCTGCCTCCAAAACCTTGCATCTCCAACATCTCCCCATGGTCTGCACCGGAGAGTTTGAAAGGGAGAAGACAGAGAGGCATCTCAGAGATCAAATGTTTCCTCGTTTTGTCTCACCTCATCCTAACGTCCTTACATATTATGACCTAGGTCCCTCAGCTCAACCACAAATACATCTTTCAATGTATTTAGGATACATATGACAGCAAGAGATGAAGGGGTGTAGATAGGAAACCAAAAATGGAAGGATGGGAACGATGCTGTGGTGGAGACAGGAAGAGTGGGATGCAGGGATCTCATGCCAGTTCACTCAGAGAGGGAGGGTGAGGGGGGGGAGACAGCAGAGCTTCAGGAGAACGAGAAGAGGGAGAAGTAAGGAGAAAGGGCGGGGACGAAGCTCACAGTCAGACCATGCAGGATGCAATAAGCCGGAAAAAAAAGACACCAAAGGAAATCATCTCAAGATCAAAAGAAATGGCTCGAATAAAAGGCACACAGAGAGGAAGGCAAAAGAAAAATCAGGAAAAGTTCACATCAAATTTATGCTCTTCACCTTAATTCTTCAGGTTGGAGCTGATGACCTGTCATAAATATGAAGTTATGTGTTTGGTCGTTCAATACCCCTCCCCCCAGAAAAATAAATAAATACAAAAAACAAAATGGTGGAGTGAGCAACATCTGGCCTCCCTTCGTCTATTTTAAAGCTAGATGTGATCTACAGAACTGAAACCCTGTTCACAGGAGGACTCCACTTCTCTACTACTGCGGAACCCCACAGGACCGGACTTAGAGGGGATGGAGGGGGGTGGAGGGGAGGCAGGGGGGAGGGAGGGCGGTGTGCCGGGGGGGTAGTGAAGAATTACAGTGAACAGCATCGCAGCAGACGACTGCACAAACATAGGAGAGACAAGCAAGGAGGTCAGAGGATTGGAGAAATCAAAAACAGAGGAGGCGGGGGAGGACGGTTTCATCACAGATCTACAGAATACAGATTCTCTCTGACCAAAAAATAATAAGAAACTCCAAATAAACAATAACAAAATGGTTCGGGTGCACATTTCCATGCAAGAACTGCCAAGCATGTAGCCAGTGAGAAATGAGACAACTTAGGAAGAAGGAGGAGTTACTCCGAAGAAGCCCGCAGTAACATTTGGCCACTACTGTGGAATCCCAGAAGTGCAGAGTCATGCTCCAAGAACGTCATCATGATTCAACCAAACAAACCAAAGTTTCTGAGCCGAACTAAGTGAGTGAAGAGGCGCTGAAAGCCTGAGGCTTGTCTGTCACTAAAACAGGAGGCTGTTTGGAGAGGGTTGGACAACCCGGCTTAAAGATGGCGGCCACAGCCAGTTCAGTCTGTCTGACAACAGATACAACAAACCAACACCACTCTAAAGAGTACGACAAAGAAAAAAATACTCTTCCACCCTAAAAGTTGTACGTTTTCTTGACGTAGCATCATGAGTTGGATTAGCATGAATCTTAGGTGTAAATACTGTTAATCACTTTGATATTTGGAGTCTCTAGGTAAAAACTATGGATGACCTTTTTTCCACAATTTGAAATGAATTTTCTCAGTTTTCAGAGCAGCAGAGCTCGACACTGACAGAGCCTGTTGGCTTCAGGCTCTGCAGGATGAGGCGTTTTCCCCTCTGTTTAAATCTATTCAGTTTATCTCTATAGCTCCCTTTCACACTTGTCATCATGCACAGACTATCCAAT